ACTGAACAAAGCAAGAGGATATACACAAGGAAGAATAGGAGATTGGACAAACAGAAATAAAAGCATCACCTTCACCCCTGAATAACAGAATTAAAGAAGATGGGGAAATGGAGGGAAGGAAAAAGTAGGAAGGAAAAATCTGCACAAATGAAGACAAACCAAAACACACTCCTAAACAGACAAAAATTTGAACCATTTCCCCTGAAAACTGGAATAAGACAAGGATGCCCACTCTCACCTCTCCTGTTCAATATAGTATTGGAAGTCTTGACTAGAGCAATCAGAAAAGAGAAGGTGATCAGGGATATCCAAATAGGAAAAGAGGAAGTCAAGTTATCTCTCTATGCAGATGACATGATTGTGTACCTTGAAAATCCAAGAGAATCTGTCAAAACCTCCTTGCCCTGATAAAGGACTTTGGCTAAGTCTCAGTGTATAAAATAAATGTGCAAAAGACAATCACATTTCTTTACACCAATAATAAACAAACAGAGATCCAAATAAAAAGCACAATCCCATTCACAATAGCCCCAAACAAATGAAATACCTTGGCATCTTCCTAACCAGAGATGTGAAAGGCCTTTACAATGAAAACTACAAAACACTGTTCAAAGAAATCAAAGATGACACAAACAAGTGAAAAAATATCCCATGCTCATGGATTGGAAGAATCAACATTTTGAACATGTTCATCTTACCTAAGGCAATCTACAGATTTAATGCAATACCCATCAAATTGCCAGCAACATTCTTCTCAGATCTAGAAAAAACAATACAGGAATTCATATGGAAACACAAATGACCAAGAATAGCCAGAAAAATCCTCAGAAAAAAAAAAAGCAGGAGGTATCACACTACCAGACTTTAATCTTTACTATAAAGCAACAATAATCAAAACAGCTTGGTACTGGTACAAAAACAGGCATATAGACTAATGGAATAGAATTGAGATTCCAGAAGCAAAACCTCAATTTCTCAACCAACTCATCTTCAACAAAGCCTCCACCACCCACCACTGGAGAGAGGACAATCTATTGAGTAAATGGTGCTGGGAAAACTGGCTGACCACATGCAGAAGATTCAAACAAGACCCCCTATCTATCCCCAAACACAAAAATTAACTCTAAATGGATCAGAAACCTAAATGTAAAACCTCAAACCATAAGAACTTTAGAAAATGCAGGGCATACCTTTATGGAAGTTGGAACTGGCATCCAATTCCTGAGCAAAAACAGAAATGCATGGGCCAGAAGAGATAAGATAGACAAGTGGGACCTCATTAAACAGACAAGCTTCTGCAAAACCAAGGAAACCATCAAGAGAGCAGGGAAACAGCCCACAGACTGGGAAAAAGTGTTTGCCAACTCCATGTCTGACAAAAGCCTAACATCTGGGATCAACAAAGAACTCAAACATGCTTAAAAGAAAAAGACAAACAACCCCATTACAAAGTGGGCAAAAGACATGAATTGACACTTCTCAAAAGAAGACATACGAGCGGCCAACAGATACATAAAGAAATGTTCAACCTCACTAGTCATCAAGGAAATGCAAATTAAAACTACACTGAGATACCACCTAACTCCAGTCAGAATGGCCATTATCAATAACTCAAAAAATAACAGATGCTGGAGAGGATGTGGTGAAAAGGGAACACTTCTACACTGTTGGTGGGAGTGTAAACTAGTGCAACCTCTGTGGTAATCAGTGTGGCGATTCCTAAAAGATCTAAAAATTGACCTTCGATATGACACCACAGTCCCCCTACTGGGAATATACCCTGAAGAACACAAATCACTCTATAAAAAAGATACCTGCACAAGTATGTTTATTGCAACATTGTTCACAATAGCAAGATCATGGAACCAACCATCCTGTCCATCAAAAGAGGACTGGATTTTTAAAATGTGGTACATATGCACAATGGAATATTATGCAGCCATAAAAAAGAACAAAATCATGAATTTTGCAGCAACCTGGATGGAATTAGAGTTTATAATACTGAGTGATCTCTCACAGAAACAAAGATCTGAGTAACACATGTTCTCACTCATAAGTGGACCTTGAACAACTATCGTAATACTGTAAGAAAAGGATTGACAGTGACGGGAAACTATGGGGGGGGGGCAGGGACAAGAAGGGAGGTGGGATTAATGGTAGTCAATATCTGTCTGGGGACGGAAGGGCACACCTCATCAACAAAGGTACCTGCACAATGCATATTTGTATACCTAATCCTTAACTGTACCCCACAATTTTAAAATAAAAATTTTTATTAAAAAAAGATTTTAAAATGGTACATATATTATATAAGACAGCTCCATTACAATCTTATAGAACTGTCATTGATGAAATCTACCAATGACCAAATGTTATACGGAGCATAACTATATTTTCTTGGTTAGTGACATAGCTATGTTTTATTACAAACTGGAAGTCATAAAAAAGAAGTTTAGATTTCCATGTGACTAACACTGCAAATTTTTTTTTCACATATGTATCTTGTATTTTTATATTTACAGCAATGGAAAAGTTTCAGATTTTACTATTGTTATCCTTCTTGGATTATACTTTTGTTGTGTTCATTGTATAGTCATGAATCTTGATGTGATTATAGTAACATAAAACTACACATGGTATCAAATTGCACAAAATGACACATGCATATGAGGCAGAATATGTAACTGATGAAATCTGAGCAAACTATTTGCATTGTTTCGATGCTAATTTTCTGATTTTCATGTTAGAGTATAGTTAGCCAAAATGTCAATACATGGGGCAGTCTGGGTAGGGAGTACACAGCACCTACAGCACCTTACTGTACATTTCTTTGCAAATTCCTATAAATATAAAATTACTCCAAAACAGAAAGTTAAAAAATGGAATCATGGACATAAATGTAAAACTAAAATTATGCAATTGTCTGAAGAAAACAGAAAATTTGGGTGAGCTAGGACTAGACTTTATATTTATATGAGAACAAATTAAAATTCACAAGGAAAAATTGGATTCATCAACATTTAAGTATTGTATCTCAAAAAATTCTGACGAGAGGAGGAGAAAATAAGCTGCAAACTGGGAGACTATATTTGTGAAACATATATCTATGACAAATAGTTTCCTCTCTAGTATATAAAAGAAAAAAAACAAAATTAATAGTAAAATAACAAAAAATATGCAATATTAACAGATAATTGACTAAAGAGGATATATAGATTAAAAAAATACATGAAAATATGATCAGCAGAATTAGACACTGAGGAGATACAAATTAAAACTACTATTGGATATCACATTTCCCCCAACATAAAGTCTAAAATTTTAAAATAATGATAATATCAAATCCTATTGAGAAAACAGAAAATATAGAACAATCATGCATTGCTACAGGAAATGAAAAATGGTTCAGCTACTGTGGCAAAGAGTTTGTCAGGCCTTATCATACAACTCAACCATTTCACTCCTGTATATTTCTCCTAAAGATATGAAATTTTATGTTTACACAAAATCCTGTACATGGATATTCATAGCAATTATATTTGTAATCGTCAAAAACTAGAAAATACTCAAGTGCCCTCTGATGATTGAATAATCTATGAAACATTCACTCACTGGATTCTACTCGGAAATACTGTAATAAAAAATAAAATCTTAATACCTGATTTAAAAAACTTTGACGTATCTCAAGGTAACTATGTGAGTGAAGAAACAAATCTCTAGAGTTACTATATGATACTATTTTTATATAGTATTTAAGTACAGTTATAGAGTTGGAGAGCCGATTACTGTTGCCAGAATAAGGAACTGGGAGTAAGGCAGGTTAGTTTACTATAGAGGGTTAGTATGTGGTACTGGAATAGTCCTGCAAGTCAATTTTTGTGTTGAGTACACTGATCTACACATGAAATAAAATTACATACAACTCCATACATACACAACACAAAACAATATATACGAAAATTGGTGAAACCCAAAATTTTGGAGATAATCGTGGTGATGGATGCACAAACAATATGGTGGTACTGAATTCCACTGAAATGCACCCTTCAAATGAATAAGATGTTATATCTTATATCATATGTACTTTACTAGACTATAAATGTTATTATAAATAATAACTAATTGTGAAAAAATTGAAATTAGGCAAATTACATTCCTGTATTTCAAAAGCTGAGTTTCTTCTACCTGACTATATTGACTTTTCATGAATGAAGTCCATATTTATGGAGAAAAATTTATGACTGGTTTTTCATGTAGTCTTCCTAAGCCATCGGTTTTTCTAGGAAATAAAATTGTCAAAAGTGGATAAGTGGATTTCAGTTGTTTTTACAGTTATTTCATAGTTGTGATTTGTTTACCTGATACTAAAGTTATGAATCAATACTAAAGTAATAAAATGAATACACATTCATGTTTAGCGTTTTACTTGGACTCCTTACACAGCTTTCTACAGACTAATTTTTGGGGTGTGTGTGTGTGTGTGTGTGTGTGTGTGTGTGTGTGTGTGTGTGTTGACCTGAGACTTGGAGTAGAAAACTAGAAATAGATATGGACGAATTTGGCAATTGGCTGCCACTAAGTATATTGTAAATTTCTATTTTTTTCTGTTTTCCTTCAACACGGCGATTCATCCATCTTCCCAGAAAGGATGAAGTGGAATATTATTGCCAAGACTTAACCGACAGGTGGCCTCCGGAAGAGAATGTGCTTCACAACCATTATGCAATCCCTGAAAGCATTTCAAATGTCAAACTTTTGGAAAATAAAGCTCTCGTGCAAATGCAGAGGTCTGAGGGTGGGCGCCCCAGGGCTGCAAACCTGTGCTGCAAACCCAGGGCTGTGGCCTGTGTTATTCTCAGGGCTGGTGCAGAGCCTGCGCCCTTCGTTCCTATCACCGTACTGCCTCCCCCTCCCCAGCCAGAGCCTCGTGATCATAGCTCTGAGCTGCCGCTGTTTCATCTCCAACGGCCTTAACAGTGGCAAAACCAACTCGCCAGACAATGCTGTCTCTCTTACTGATCCTTTCAGGACTGGGCCACATGACCACTGTGGGCCAGCGTAAGTGAAAAACCCTGCCGGAAAAGAGGGCAGCCTTTCATAGTGCGCCATGGGGAGGCAAGGGCCTTTCTCCTTGTTCCTAAAAGGCCAGGCTGGGGAGGGGCGAATGGATGGGGTCTGAGAACTACAGCCCACACATCTCCCTCTCAGGGTTAAGGTAACTAAGCCCTGAAGTGTCTCTGGACAGTGGGAGGGTAATACTCCCACACCTAGAGGAACCTCTTCCTGGAATTTGACAAAGTGTGGTTGTTTTGGGATGTGTATCCGTGTGTGTTTTAAGATTAAGGAGTGATGAAGAAAGGACACGTGAAGAATGAGGGTACCGGCATAGCCTGGGAATGCTTACATACATTTTTGCTTCCTGCAGATTCTGAAGCACCACTTCTACAAATTACAGTGCCACAGAAGATCGGGGCAAACACCAGTGATGGCAATGTTTCAGAAACGCATGTAATTAACAAATTATTATTATTTTTTTAATCTGTGTTTATTTTACAGGACAACATGGCCCAAATCAAATAATACATAGTCCTTTGTGAAATTTTATTTGTTTTAACTTACCTGCTACAGAGTCATTTGGACTGAATGATGATAAGGTTTTAATTTTTTTAATTTAAAGTAGTCTATGAATGTTACATAATTGTTTTAAAGCAAAGACTCAGGAAAACACCAAATTCCTGTAACACCACTTGACATGTACAGTGTGCTGGACTGTTTTAGAAAATATATGTCTAAATTGGTATTCTTATATGTGTAGCCCTACCAATATCTAACAAGTAACATGATTTTAAAATGACAATATATAAAGACTATATTCATGCCTATATATACATATATATGTATATCTAAATCCTTTGTAAAAATGAAAGTGCTGTCATTTTAATCTAATTAAAAATGCATAGTCAATTTAAATGTACATAGTACACAGATTCTGAATGCAGTGAATGTCCACACCAGTTTGGATATAGTAAATTTGAACTAAATACATATTTAGACATGCACATACCTGCACAGATGCATTTTAATGATTATATATGAGTGTTATTGGCTTTTTATATAGTTTGGATTGAAATATAGCTCTGTCATTTTCAAAATTGCATGATGTGTCATATAAATGTAAAATATTTTATCAAATTTTGACATGTTGATAGTTTTATAAACCTTCCTTAATAGTCATCTTTGTAGGATCAGTGGGCAAGCAATTAGCATTTTTTGGTAAATATTGCAAAATATCTTCCAGCAAACTTACATTTTACTTAACTCTCATTAACAAACAAAAATGATGCCTATCTTCTTGAGCCCTCACCAGCCTTTGTTCCATCTTCTCATTTCTGCTGATGTGAGCATCATAGCAAATGTCTTATGTTTCAGTGGTATTTTATGACACTTTAAGATATGCCTTTATATATAGATCGTTTGAGTTATTTTTTCCTCAATAATTTCTTATTGATTTGGACTTTTCTTTTTGTAAGAATTAGCGGGGTTTTTTTTTCAAGAAGAAAAAAGTACTGATCTAACTTCAGTAGAAAGGTCTAAAAGGAATACTGTATAATCAATTAAAAACCTTTTAGACACTAAGATTATATAGTCTGAGAGATCTGAGTGTCTTACTTTCTGGCACATACACAAAAAAATGTAATGATTATGTGTTTCTAAAACCAATTACACTGCTGGGAGTGGGAGCTGTGGCTCATGCCTTTAATCCCAGCACTTTGGGAGGTGGAGATGAGAGGATCCCCTGAGCCTGAAGTTCAAGATTCACCCAGGCAATTTGATGAGAACTCATCTCTAGAATAAATCAGAAAATTAACTGGGCACTACATGCACCTGTAGTTCCAGCTACTTGGAAGGCTGAGGTGGAAGGATCACCTGAGCTCAACAGATTGAGGCTGTGGTGGACCATTAAGTGTACTACCACACTGCACTCCAACCTGGGTGACAGTGAGACTCCTACTCGAAAATAAATTAAAATAAAAAATAAAATCAATTACACCAAAAAGTTAAATATCCAGAGAGGTTAAAATGTCTAGGAGAGGATAACTACCCAAGGTAAAAAAAAGAAGTGTGTCAGGAAAACAACAGCACAAATATATTCATACACTCACACATACGCCAGTATAAGTGATAAGCATCATTATTTAATTATAAAATATCCATCTCACTAGGGATATTTAACAATTTCAAATCTATGGTTTTCATAAAATGAATTTCACACACATAAAGTAAAAACTGGAGGCTTTAGAGGGAGATATTATCATATCCATTTTCATAATGAGATCTTTATTTTTTATTCATATGTTTTATTCAAATGTTGATTGACAAATCATAAAAAAATTTATAAAGATAAAATTTGAACAAAAAAATTTTTCTCTAATAAACATACATAGACTGTAAACCCAAAGAAGTAAATATATTGTTTTCCTCGGTTCTTTTGTTAGTTAGGACTACCTCAACTCTATACAATATGATGCATGAGACTTTTATTTAAGGACTAATAATATGGTGTGGCAAGACAAAGAGAATTCAGGCAAGCATCAGGAATCCAAGAAACATCTACAATGAGTTCTCCATGAACCTAATATCTGTGCTTCTGTAGCATGCCAAGTCTTTGGCTTCTACCAACCAGACCCATGGGAAGAAAATTCTGCCCTTCAGAGAACTCATCTAAAGCTTTCAGTAACTCTTTAAGTAGTCAAGCAGACCTTGTCAAAATATTTAGGCAAACACTAAAGACACAAACTTAGTCATGGGTGTTTTGAACCCTAAAATCACATTATGTATCATACTACTTTTGTCTTAGCCAAGAGTCAAAAACATCCAGACTTGTAGGCATGCCTAGAAATAAAGATAGAACATTTCTACTTCAGTTGTAATTCAGCTCTATCTCCTCTATAAGTAATGTATGCTCTTCTAAAAAATATGTGGCATATTCAACAAAATTGACCACAGTGAAGAAAGAAAATTAAAACTCAAATATCATAGAAAAGAAAAAAAAATTAATATCAAATACTGATAGTATTAAACTCATCCCGTAACAATTCAATTAAGTTAAAAAAACAAAGATTGGAAAATACATTTGGAAACTTGCAGATGCACTTCTATACATTTTATGAATTGAAGAAGAAATAATAAATGATAATGAATATTATACAATAAATAATGGAAAAGAATGAAGACATTACATACAGAAATTTGAGTTATACTTGTACATTACATACAGTCATATCTTGTAACTAAAATATTTAAATAATGGGAGGATACAACAAATAATTAGTTAATTAAGATGCTAGAAAAATAATTACATTCTGAAAATTTTTAAAGATGCTACTAAAATTAAGATGTAGGATTAATGAAAGAGAAAATTAAGTTAAAATAAGTTGAATTTGCAACATCAAAAACTGATTATAGAAAATAGCATAAAACAAATATTTTGGTGAGCTAGACTAAGGAAAATGAAGAGAAGAAGAAAAATATGTAATATTAGAAATGAGAATACAAAATAGAATTGTGAAAAAATATATACCCATAAATTATAATTTAAACATACTACTTCAATTCATAAAACTTATATCTTAACAAAACCGACAAAAGATGAATTAAACAGTTTTAGTACTCATGCCCTATTAGGAAAGTAAAACCTCAATGTGGTTTTGGTTTTCATTTCTCTGATGACTAGTGAGCCTCAGCATTTTTTCATATATCTGCTGGCTGTTCCTAAGTCATCTTTTGAGAAGTGTCTATTCATGCCTATTGCTTACTTTTTAATAGGGCTGTTTGTTTTTTTCTTTTCGGTTTGTTCGAGTTCCTCGTAGATCCTGCATATAAGGCCTTTGTCAGATAAACAGCAAATATTTTTTCCCATTCTGTGGATTGTCTCTCTGTTCTCTCGATGGTTTATTTTGCCTTGCAAAGGCTTTTCAGTTGGATGATGAGGCCCCACTTGTCCATCTTTTCTTTGATGGCATACACTTTTGAGGTTATGATCAAGAGTACCACCTAACTTCAGTACGAATGGCCATCATTAATAAATAAAAAAACAGCAGATGCTGGCTAGAATGTGGAGAAAAGAGAACACTTCTACACTGTTGGTGGAAAACAGTGTGGCAGTTTTTAAAAGAACTAGAAATTGACCTTCCATAGGTCCCAGCAATCCCTCTTCTGGGAATATACCCAGAGGAACTCAAATCATCCCATAAAAAAGATACCTGCACATGCATGTTTATTGTAGCACTATTCATAATAGCAAAATATGGGACCAACCCTGCTTCCCATCAAAAGTAGACTAGATTTAAAAAAATATGAACATGTACCCAATGAAGTATTGCCCAGCCATAAAGAAGGACACAATTATGGACTGTGCAGCAACTTTGATAGATTTGGGATCTATCACATTCAGTGATCCATCACTGAAACAAAGAACTGAATATCACATATTCTCACTCATAATTTGGTCCTGAACATTTATCACAATACTGCAAGAGAGATCAGCAGTAGTGGGACATAACATCAAAGGGTACCTGATCCTAAACCAGGGGAAGTGAGCACCAGTGGAAGGCTCAAACTTTACCTGCATGCAGATCACTTCTGTACCTAATCCTGACTTGTACTCCACATCTTTAAAATTAAAAAAAAGAAAGAAAATAAAACCTTGCTGAAATGCTACATTTCACCCCATTCCATGCTATACCTATCTTAGACAAATGTGTATAATTTTATCTAAATGACCAAATCTGAAAATATTTTGCATATCTAAACTCTTGATATTCACCCAGGTCAGTCTTCTCAGAAAGTTATTGCCTTTTTCTGACAATATAAAAAGTCACTATTTTGACATATTGAACTTCATATAAAATCGATCATATGGTAGCCCTTTTTTGTGTGTCTGGCTTCTCTCATTCAACGCACTGTTTTTCAGATTTATTCATGGTTTTCAGGTATTAATTACTTCATACACTTTATATTTGTATGCTATCCTAAAAATTTAATTATTAACATGGACATTGTCTCCAGTTTTTTTTAAACATTATGAATACATTTTCTACACAGTAGCAAGTGTTTCATTGATATGTGCTTTCATGTGCATGTGTGTAAAAGGGAAATACTGATTTATAAAGTGCATATTTACACTTATAAAAACCTGGTATTTTGTTTATTAAAGTGATTATGCATTTAACACTTCCACTAGTAGGATATGAGAGTTTTAGTTGTTTAGTATTTTTGATAACATGGCCCTCTCAGTCTTTTGTTGTGGTTGTTATCTGCAGTTTGTTCATTCCTCTTTTCTCTCTCTCTCTCTCTCTCTCTCTCTTTTTTGGATTATTTTGCATCCCATGATGAATAGGAATGACGAGTTACTTGCTGAATATGTATGAGCCCATTGTATATGAACTACAAATATCATTCTTCAGTCTCTATCTTTTTGGGATTATTTCGCATCCCTTGATGAATAG